TCAACGTTCATGCCAAGTCCACCCTGTCTGAAACAGCTCAGGACTTCATGGCCTCCATGACAACCACTGGGCTGTCCCAAATGATATCTGGGCCCACATATGTAGCTGGACACACCCTTATCCTGGTTTGTTTAACATCTACATGAAGCCGCTGGGGGAGATCATCCGGAGTTTCGGGGTGCGGTGTTATCTGTACGCAGATGATGTCCAACTCTGTTACTCCTTCCCACCTACTACTAAGGAGGCTGTTCAGGTCTGTATCAGACTGGATGAGGGCTAACAAATTGGAACTGAATCCAGACAAGACAGAGGCACTCCTGGTCAGTCGAAAGGCCGAACAGGGCATAGGGTTACAGCCTGTGTTGGATGGGGTCGCACTCCCCCTGAAGACACAGGTTCGCAGCTTGGGTGTGATCCTGGATTCATCGCTGAGCCTGGAACCCCAGGTTTCGGAGGTGACCAGGGGAGCATTTGCACAACTAAAACTTGTGCGCCAGCTGCACCCGTACCTTGGGAAGTCTGACTTGGCCCCGGTAGTCCACGCTCTGGTTACATCCCACATAGATTACTGCAATGTGCTCTACGTGGGGTTGCCTTTGAAGACGGCCCAGAAGCTTCAAATGGTCCAGCGTGCGGCAGCCAGGTTGCTAACAGGAGGGGGGCTCAGGGAGCATACAACTCCTCTGCTGCATCAGCTCCACTGGCTGCCAGTTTGCTACCGGGCTCAATTCAAAGTGCTGGCTTTAGCCTATAAAGCCCTAAACGGTTCCGGCCCAGCCTACCTATCCGAATGCATCTCTCCCTACGAACCCTCCAGGAAGTTAAGATCATCTGAGGAGGCCCTGCTCTTGATCCCGTCTGCTTCGCAAGCATGCTTGGTGGGGACGAGGGACAGGGCCTTCTCTGTGGTGGCCCCTTGGCTATGGAACTCCCTGCCTAGGGATATTAGATCAGCCCCCTCCCTCCTGACTTTTCGGAAGAAAGTAAAAACCTGGCTCTTCGAGCAAGCCTTCGGAACCCCGGAATAGATAGTCAAACTTGAGATGGAGAATGACCCAGGAACGGCCAAGACGATGAAACGGATGAGGATTGGAATGAGAGGATATAGCTCTTTTTAAATTGTTATTGTACTGTCTTTTTTGTCTAAATGCACTTAATTGTTTTTGCTGTTGTATTGTATTGATGGCATCGAATTGTGCCGATATGTAGACCGCCCTGAGTTGCCTGCAGGCTGATATGGGTGGGATATAAGTGATGTAAATAAATGGACTGACCATCACCTGATTAGGTTTAGACTAACCACAGCCTCTAACCTCCGCAGGGGTGGGGGACCCGATAAGTTGGTCCGACCCAGGAGACTTATGGATCTGGATGGATTCCTGATGTCTCTTGGGGAGTTTCCTGTCATGGTGGCAGACGATCCTGTCAAAACCCTGGTTGATCTCTGGAATATGAAGGAGACCTGTGCAATGGACACGATCACCCCTGAATGTCCCCTCTCACTCAGCAGAGCCAGCTCATCTCCTTGCTTCACCAGGGAGCTGTTGGTGATGATGCAAGTAAGACGGAGACTAGAGTGAATCTGACCAATCACGAGCTAGAGCAGGCATGGGCAAATATTTTTGCTTTGGGGCCGGGTCAGGAGAGGTAACAGCTGGGCACATGCTGTTCTCCCCCACCCTTATGCCAGGAGGAAGGTGAGACACGTGGCAACTGCCCCGATCTTCCTTCCGATCCTCCTCCTCCAATCCTCTGGCTGTCCTCTTGGCATAATGCTGGGAAAAGGGCAAAACAGGCAGCAGTTGAGATAGGTCTGGAGGGCTCTCAGCCACCGCATGCCTTCCTTGAGCTGTCCTCCCAGCATAAGGACAGAGCCGCTCACACTGTCTTTATGAGAGTGCTTCAGAGGGCTCTCAGGTGCTGCGTGCATTCCTCCCCTGTCTTTTTGGCATAATTATGCGTCAGGCCAAGAGAACAGGAAAAATAAGAAGGGCCTGAGGAAAGCACCCAGAGGGCCGCATCCGGCCCCCAGGCCTTCGTTTGCCCATGCCTGGGCTAGAGCTTCACTTAGGGCAGTGTTTTTCAACCTGGGGGTTGGGACCCCTAGAGGGATCATGAGAGGGTGTCAGAGGGGTCGCCAAAGGCCATCAGAAAACACAGTATTTTTTGCTGGTCATAGGGATTCTGTGTGGGAAATTTGGTCCAATTCTATTGTTGATGGGGTTCAGAATGCTCTTTGATTGTAGGTGAACTATAAATCCTAGCAACTACAGTTCCCAAATGTCTACTCTATTATCCCCAAACTGCACCAGTGTTCACATTTGGCCATATTGAGTATTCGTACCAAATTTGGTTCAGATACATCATTGCTTGAATCCACAGTGCTCTCTGGATGTAGGTGAACTACAACTCCCAAACTCAAAGTCAATGCCTTCCAAACCCGTCCAGTATTTTCTGTTAGTCAGGGGAGTTTTGTGTGCCAAGTTTGATTCAGTTCCATTGTTGGTGGAGTTCAGAATGCTCTTAGATTGGAGGTGAACTGTAAATCCCAGCAACTACAACTCCCAAATGACGAAATCAATCCCCCCAACACCACTAGTATTCAAATTTGGGCATATCGGGTATTTGTGCCAAATTTGATCCAGCGGATGAAAATACATCCTGCATATTGGCCATTTACATTACGATTCATAACAGTAGCAAAGTTTCAGTTATAAAGTAGCAATGAAAATAATTTTATGGTTGGGGGTCACCGCAACATGAGGAACTGGATTAAGGGGTTACAGCACACTGCTCTATTACTTCCTTTGGAAACAATGATTCTAGTAACATCGTCTTCGGGCCTCACTTTCCACCAAACTGGAAATTCTTAGTAGATTTTAATTGTATTGTCTTAATGTTTTTAACTATTTATAATTATTGATTGTTATATATATTATTATGTATATATAGCGGCACCGAATGGCTGCCGACTGGAAGCTGCCCTGAGTCCCCCCCAGGGCGTTGAGAAGGGTGGGGTACAAATGTTCGAAATAGATAAATAAATAATAAATAATGTGGCCAGGGCAATCCCAATCATCTGCAATTAAGAAAAGTGGAAGGAATCCCATCTTTCCAGTCAACTCAGGGAAAAGTAAACTGCCGCAGCCTCCTTAGCTTCTTCTTCCTCATCAATGACCTTGACCAGGCTCTTGTCCTCATCTGTGGAGTGTTGCAGGGCACGCTCCCATTGATCCCAGTGAGTTACACTGGGTTTCTCATCATTTGTTGGAGCATTGTTTCTATACTACCAGCAAGCTCCATGGCTCTCCAATTGTCCTTACAACAACCCTACAATGTAGGCCAGAGTGAAAGCTGATCACTGTCCCAATCTCTCATCGTTCTTTAAGTAGGTTGCCTCAAGTCCCAATCTAGTCACTCTATCCTTGAGATGAACTACAATTTGCTGCCAACTTGGGAGACAAATTAGGTTGATCTCAGAGAAATCTGAACGTTTCGTGTTCTCGAGTGACATCTAGTGGCTGGTCTGAAGTGGTACTGGCTACTAGTTTCCTGCACTTACAGCAGCTCCAGGGATGCTTGGATGAAACCGATTATCTTCATCCATCACAGTCTGGTTTTAGTCCTGGTCATGGAACGGAGACTGCTTTGGTTTCTTTGGTGGATGACCTCCGCAGAGAATTAGACAGGAGGAGTGTATCCTTGTTGGTTCTTTTGGACATCTCAGTGGCTTTTGACACCACCAACCATGGTCTCCTTCTGGGTTGGTTCTCCAGAATAGGTCGTGGGGGGACTGCTCTGCAGTGGCTTGACTCCTTCCTGAAGGACTGAACCCAGTTGGTGATGCTGGGAGACACCTGTCGGATCCTTGGCCATTGACCTGTAGGGCCCCACAAGGTTCTATTCTTTCTCCCATGCTCTTCAACATCTACATGAAACTGCCGGGTAAGGTCATCTGGAGTTTTTGAGTTGGATGCCACCTCTACACAGATGACACACAACTCTACTATTATTTTCGATCCAAGGAAGGCCCCTTGATCCTGGTGCCTGGCAGCTGTGATCATAGAATCATAGAATCAAAGAGTTGGAAGAGACCTCATGGGCCATCCAGTCCAACCCCCTGCCAAGAAGCAGGAATATTGCTTTCAAATCACCCCTGACAGTTGGCCATCCAGCCTCTGCTTAAAAGCCTCCAAAGAAGGAGCCTCCACCACACTCCGGGGCAGAGAGTTCCACTGCTGAACGGCTCTCACAGTCAGGAAGTTCTTCCTCATGTTCAGATGGAATCTCCTTTCTTGTAGTTTGAAGCCATTGTTCTGCATCCTAGAAAACAAGCTTGCTCCCTCCTCCCTATGACTTCCTCTCACATACTTATACATGGCTATCATGTCTCCTCTCAGCCTTCTCTTCTTCAGCCTAATCATGACCAGCTCTTTGAGCTGCTCCTCATAGGGCTTGTTCTCCAGACCCCTGATCATTTTAGTCGCCCTCCTCTGGACACATTCCAACTTGTCAATATCAGTCGTCCATCATGGTGCCCAGAATTGGACACAATATTCCAGGTGTGGTCTAACCAAGGCAGAATAGAGGGGTAGCATGACTTCCCTGGATCTAGGCACTATACTCCTTGACCAAAAGGTCACAGGTTCGAACCCAGGGAGCGGTGTGAGCTCCCGCTGTCAGCCCTAGCTTCTGCCAACCTATCAGTTCGAAAACATGCAAATGTGACTAGATCTGCTCTGGCAGGAAGGTAACGGCACTCTATGCAGTTATGCCGGCCACATGACCTTGGAGGTGTCTACAGACAATACCACCTCTTCGGCTTAGAAATTGAGATGAGCAACAACCCGCAGAGTCAGACATGACTGGACTTAACGTCAGGGAAAAACCTTTACCTTTGTGAGACTACTGTACGTAGTATAATCTAAGACATCAGAAAAATCTTCAAACAAATAGTAGGCCATGCATGAAGCAGGAAAAGAAAAACTCAAACCAGACCGTTCTTTTTAAAGGAATGAATTTTATTCCAATTTCAAACAATTTATTTCAGGAGAAAGATATGAAAATCAATTTTGTTGTTTGTTTGTTTTCTTCCATCAGGTATTTCTAAACATTGAGGGTTAGCACCCAGACGACGAGAGAACGCGAGTTGTTCTGAGAACCCCTCCCCCCCATTTCTGCCTCACAGACTAAAAAGAGAGACAAGAACATGGGCCAAATAATAATAACAGTAATAATAATAATAGTAATAATAGTAGTAATAATAATAATCCATCCCAGGCCACGTAATTCCAAATCCCCTCCCTGTTTCCCCACCCCGCCCCGATACATTAAAACACCACATGCAATTTCAAAATGACAAAAAGAGTTTTCGTTTTTTTTAAAAAAAGACAGTGTTTATATAGTCATGTTGTGTGTTCTCTCTTTTAAATAGGATAACGTTTAAACATTTTTTCTCGTCTTTCCCCCCTCCTTAACCCACCCCCCACAACATCTGCATCTTTTATTATAATATACAAGTATATAACCAAATAATTTTTTTCCACCACACTGGTAACTTGTAAAAAGAGTCTCTGGTATTAAAGAAAAAAGAAATGGGACATTGGCACAAACCAGATAACGCTTTAAAAAAAAAAAAAAAGAAATATCACACACACACACACACACATACATACGGAGTACGGAAAGAACAGACTTTGGACTCCCAAGGGACTCAAACCACCTTCATTGTTGTTTGTTTGTTTGTTTTGAGGGAAGCACAATACAATGAATGGCATGAACCAAATAAAGCCGGGGGTGGGAGGACATTTTGAAGTAGTTATAAAACATGTTCGGGGGGGGGGGGGGCACAACTGAAGGCAACTGACAATTGGAAGCGGGGAAAAGGAAGACAGGACCAGAGGAAAAAAATAAGAAGAGGGGATTAGGGTCAATCATATCTAGAAGGAAATGGAATGATGTGTTTTACAACTCCCCCTTCCTACACACGATTAAGATGACATGAGAGCAAGTTGTACGCTCTCATACACACACACACACACACACACACGTAAATATATAAAGTGCAACAGGAACAGAGCTCGATCAGGCTGCTCCTTTGCCTCCCCTTTCAAGCTCAAAACAGAGATTCCCGAAAAAGCTCAAAACCAAGATTCGCAAAATCTCTGAGCGGCTCCCATCAAGACAAGTGGGGAGGAGAAGGAAAGGAAAAATGGCCGGGTGAGTTTGGCACATAAAACCTGGCCTGCGGAAGACAGGTCTGCAAGGGCATGGCAAGTCTGCAAGAAGCATCATTTCCACGACACCTGGGTTTGCAAGAAAGAAAGCGCATCATTTCCAGGAAACCCAGGTTTGCAGGAAAGGAAGCGTGTTATTTCCAGGAAACCCAGGTTTGGAAGAAAGCAAGCAAGCGTGTCATTTCCATGCAACCCAGGTTTGGAAGAAAGAAAATGCATCATTTCCACAAAAGGAAAGGAAGCGTGTCATTTTCAGGAAAACTGGGTTTGGAAGAAAGCAAGCAAGTATATCATTTCCATGAAACCCAGGTTTGCAAGAAAGAAAGCACATCATTTCCAGGAAACCCAGGTTTGCAGGTAAGGAAATGTGTCATTTCCAGGAAACCCAGGTTTGGAAGAAATCAAGCAAGGATGACATTTCGATGCAATCCGAGTTTGGAAGGAAGTGCATCATTTCCACAAAACCTGGGCTTGCAGGAATGGAAGCATGACATTTCCAGGAAACCCGGGTTTGGAAGAAAGCAAGGAAGCGTGCCATTTCCATGCAACCCAGGTTTGGAAGAAAGAAAGTGCATCATCTCTAGGAAACCTGAGTTTGCAGGAATGGAAGCATGTCATTTCCAGGAAACACCCGGGTTTGGAAGAAAGCAAGGAAGCATGTCATTTCCATGCAACCCAGGTTTGGAAGAAAGAAAGCACATCATTTCTAGGAAACCTGAGTTTGCGGGAATGGAAGCATGTCATTTCCAGGAAACCCGGGTTTGGAAGAAAGCAAGGAAGCATGTCATTTCCATGCAACCCAGGTTTGGAAGAAAGAAAGCGCATCATCTCTAGGAAACCTGAGTTTGCAGGAAAGGAAGCATGTCATTTCCAGGAAACCCGGGTTTGAAAGAAAGCAAGGAAGTGGGTCATTTCCATGCAACACAGGTTTGGAAGAAAGAAAGCGCATCGTCTCTAGGAAACCTGAGTTTGAAGGAAAGGAAGCATGTCATTTCCAGGAAACCCGGGTTTGGAAGAAAGCAAGGAAGTGGGTCATTTCCATGCAACACAGGTTTGGAAGAAAGAAAGCGCATCATTTCTAGGAAACCTGAGTTTGCAGGAAAGGAAGCATGTCATGTTCAGGAAACCCGGGTTTGGAAGAAAGCAAGGAAGCGTGTAATTTCCATGCAATCCAGGTTTGGAAGAAAGAAAGCGCATCTTTTCTAGAAAACCTGAGTTTGCAGCTAAGGAAGCATGTCATTTCCATGTAAGCCGGGTTTGGAAGCAAGCAAGCAAATGCATCATTTCTATGAAACCCAGGTTTGGGAGAAAGACAGCACATCATTTCCATGAAATCTGGGTGTTCAAGAAAGAAAGCAGTCATTTCCATGAAACCCAGGTTTGAAGGAAAGGAAGTGCATTGTTTCCAGGAAATCTGGGTTTGCAAGAAAGGCACATCATTTCCACAAACCAAGGTTTGCCAGAAAGAAAGCGCATCATCTCCACAAAACTCAGGTTTGCAGGAAATAAAGTGCGTCATTTCCAGGAAATCTGGGTTTGCAAGAAAGGAAGTGCATAATTTCCACAAAACCTGCATCTACAAGGAAGGAAGCGTGTCATTTCCACACCTGGATTTGAAAGAAGGGACATCACTTCTATGAAACCTGGGCTTGCAAGAAAGATAGCGCGTCATTTCCACAAATGTGCCGCTCTCCTCCCTCAAACCAATGGCCCTTCTTTCCAGGACTACAAGCCTGCTGTACAAAAACAAGGGTGGATAGGACATTGGGTCATACCGAGTGGCCCGATCTAACGTATGGCTCTCGAATCCCGTCACTGCAAAGCATACAAAGCATGGAAGAGGAGGGAGAAGATTGGTTTCATAAAAAGATACTCATGGCACATGAAAACAGGCCTTCTTCTGCACCATTTGGCAAGGACACAGGCCCGACCCTCCTTCCTGCCACCCTTTGAACATTCATGCAAAGAAAACTATATAGACAGATATGAGGAATGTTGGTTAATTTGTACATCAGTGACCCGCGCAACTTCCAACTCCTGCCTTCCCACGGAAGGATTTCTACTACTAACAGTGTCCCTGGGAACCCCTTCAAGAAACATGGCAGCCCTTTTGTTGTGTTCTCCGTTTGTAGTGTTCTGTGACGAGGGCCAGAGAAAACCCACAATCCGCAAACCTCTCCTGTCCAGTCCCCTCTCCTTCCCAGTATCTCGGAAACTTGGGGGTTCTGAAGCCAGGTTAGTGTTGTTCACAAACCCAAAACAACAACACACAAATACAAATAAACAACCCCTTTCCTGTGTCATGCATGGCCATTCTCGTTCCAGACATGACCCATTTTTGGCACCATCTCCCATTGGCTTAGAGCAGGAACCCATTTTGGCACTTCAGATACAGATCTTGGAAAGCTCCTTTTCCTTGCCCGTTTTTAAAGCCATCAGCCACTCCTGATTCAAATATCTCAGTTCTGGTTTTGGCCTTTCACAGAAGCTCACATTGCGCTAAATACTTGTGCAAATGCTTCAGTTCTTTGTTTTTAAAAGCCTTTCAAAGAGGTGGGGGATTCAAAGCAGTTGCAATTCACAGAAGCCTTGGCAACACGGTTTCAAAGAGTGAAAGACGGAGCGCTTGCAACGCCTTCATCGGCATATTTTTAGAGGCCTCCATAAGCCGCCTTCTGTGCACCACAGGGTCTCCTTCCTCAAGGATTTCCCCATTTGGGCGGGTATCTACCAAACCCAATGGAGCAACGATGGAAGAACACACACACAAACCACACAAAGGAACTTGTGAGATATGGGCTAGAACCTCAGGTCTTCCTGCTGGAGCCAAACGTCGCCCTGCAGGATTTAGACTCATTATCCCCCCTTTGCAATACTGGGAAAAATCCCTTGCGCTCTCTAAAGCGAACAACCTTTAAAAACAACAACAATAACAACACCCTAAACACAATACAACGGCACAATCAGGCACTTCCCCCAGGCGCATTAGCTATTGCTTGGTTGGTAGTCTATGAACAAAACAAAACAAAACAAAAAGTACGGCATATGTAGCAAACTTATATATAGGACAATAATTTAAAAAAAATCACAGTCTCAATATAACTTTCATAATTGATAAGGAAAATATATATTTATATTTATATTTATATTGACTAAAAATGGCACAAAGAAACAGAGGAATGGATAGGTGGCGTGGTGGGTGCAATCGTAGTAAAAGAGGGCACTTGATTCTCCCGAGAGGCCAATACAGGTGAATGCACCTTGAAGCAGAGATGCGTAGTGATAACTGTGGGAAAGAGGGGGGCGAAGGCAAACCGGCGCAAGCCATTTACACCAGAGGCATCATACGGCACATGGCGAAGGGTTACTAGTAGCGTCCCCGTACTTCTATAGCCCTCGTTTTGGGACCAGGAAGCCTGAGCATCCATCGGGACCCAAATTGGGAAAGCAAAGGATGGGCCAATGCAACACATGAGGAAGCCATTTTGAATTGGGGTAAGAAAGCATGAGAAAGAGAGAGAGAGAGAGAGAAAGGAGGAGTGTAACACATCCCCCAATGCAGTTGGAAACTTTTTTTTAAAGCAAATTAGTTTCCTTTAAAAAAACACATTCACTTATTTCATGGGGCAGACATGAGACTCCAAAGTAACAGTGATAGATATGCCATATATATAAAATATATATATGCCATAACCCTCCCACCCAAACAAAAACCCCTTGTCACTTCACAGATCAGACAATTTGCAATCATTACATCATTAAAAATTAAGATTTCCTGTACAATTTTTTGTTTTTATATTCATGGGGTTCTCTTGCCTTACTTTCTTCACAACGAAAAAAAAGTATCCCAAGGAGATTTGGGGGGAGAGGGCAGAGAAGAGGAAAAAGGAAGAAAGGAAGGAAGGAGAGATGGGGAAGGAGGAGAGGGAAGACTAAAAAAAAAACATGGCCAAGCCGATCAAGGTCAGACTAGGTTATATTCCTTCAAGTTGAGCTGCAGGATTGTGTCCTTGACGGCAGCAAAGACAAACCGGATGTTCTCCGTATCTGTGGCACATGTGAAGTGAGAGTAGATAATTTTGTCGCTGTCGGGGTTGAGATCCACAAACATCTTGAGGATGAACTCCCGGGCAGCTTGGGCATCCCTCTGAGGGCCTAGAGACAAGAGAGGGGCTGTGGTTACATGCAGAAGACACTGGCTTTGGAAGGAAAGGCTAGCTTGAAACAACCGTTCGCTCGGATACGGTTCTCCCAGTCTCAGCTACGTTAAATTTGTTTTTACTTACCATCAAATTCTGGGAAGTAATCCACAAGGTGAGAGTACATGATCTTGTCTTCCAACAGGTCCTTCTTATTCAGGAAGAGAATGACAGAGGAGTTCTGGAACCAGGGGTAAGTGATGATGGTCCGGAAAAGGGCTTTGCTCTCCTCCATTCGATTCTGTCAAAAAGAAAGAAAGAAAGGGAAGGCGGTATTGATATTATTATTATTATTATTATTATTATTATTATTATTATTATTATTATCACCTTATAAAGGGGACTCAAGGCAGATTCCAGCATATACAGACACAAAGGCAAACATTTAATGCCTAGAACAATGAACACAGACACACAGATAAAGGTAAAGGCTTCTCCTTTCATCTCCGGCACTGGGGGTTGATGTTCATCTCCATTCTAAGGCGAAGGGCCTACGCTGTCCGTAGACACCTCCTGGGCCATGTGGTTGGCATGACTGCATGGAGCGCCGTTAACCTTCCCACTGAGGTGGTACCTATTGATCTACGCACTGTTAGGTTGGCAGAAGCTGGGGGTAACAGCAGGAACTCAACCCATCCCACGGATTTGAACCACCAACCTTCCGGTCAGCAAGTTCAGCAGTTTAACCCATTGAGCCACCGTGGCCCAGTTTGATGTACAGCGCCCCCTTTTATTTCTAGTCCATATTACTTCCCAATCAAGACTAGGAAATGCAAACATTAAAATTCAATAGTTTAATTCTACAGAGTAACTAAGGGGTGGTCTTCCAATCAAGACAAGCCAAGATAGTGTCAAGGAAAGTGCCATGTTTGACAGTCTCTGGATCATGGGTCTTATAGTCTCAAACTGACGCAAACACACACGAGTATACACCAGGTATGGGCAAAGCCAAGTAGGCCTGGGGGCCGGATGCAGCCCCTTGAGCTCTTTTCTCAGGCCCTCCTCTCTCTCTCCTATCCTTCCTTCCTCTTTGTTCCTTCCCTCTTTCTCCCTCCTTCCTTCCCTCTTTCCTTGCTCCTTTCCTTTATTTTCTTCTTCATTCCTTCCCTCCTTTCCTTCCTACCTCCCCTCCATTCCCTTCCACCCTTCCTTCTCTTTCCTTCCTCTTTCCACCCTTCCCTTCTTTCCTCTCCCTCTTTCTCCCTCCCTCCTTCCTTCCCTTCCACGCTTCCTTCCTTTCCACTTTCCTTCCCTCTCTTTCTCCTTCCTTCCTTCTTTTTTGTCATCTCTTCCTTCTCTCCCTCCCTCCTTCTATTCCCTTACACCTTTCCTTCCATCTTTTTCTTTATCCTTTTCTTCCTTCTGCTTTTCCTTGCTCTTTTCCTCCTGGAGGATGTTTAGTTGGGAGAAGAGAAGGTAGATGGGACACGAGAACTATGTTTCACGTTTTTAAAGGGTGTCCCATTGAGGAGAAGGAGGGAGAAAAGTGATTTTCTGCTGCTCTAGAGATATGGCAACAAGGGAGCAATGGGTTCAAATAACATGGAAAGAGATTTGACTGAAAAGATTACAAAGAACTTCCAGGAGAGTGGCATAGGCTGCCTGGGAGTGTGGTCGAGTCTCCTTTTCTGGAGGTTTTTCCACAGAGGCTGTGTATTGGGAGTACTTTGTGCCGTCTTGCATGGCAGAGGGTTGGACTCGGTGGCCTTTGGAGGTCTCTCTTTCAGGTCTAGGGTTCTAGGATTTTATATCAGGAATAGGCAATCCGGGGTCTAATGGATATACTTTTTCTCTCCTGTCCACCAACTCATCCTGACCAAGGCCAACCCTTTTGGGATCCTTTCTTCCTCCAAAACAGAAGAGAAAGGGGAAAAAAGGGCAGACTGGGGGCTTGCGGAGAACCCCCTCCTGGCCTGCCCACCCTGCCATGCTGCCCACAAGTTAGAACGTTTGCCCATGGCTGGTATACATGAAATCAAATTTTCTTTTCCCCCGTCTCTGTCCATCTGTAATTTTTCCCTCTCGGCTCCATGCCTCTGTGTCTCTATTCTGTTCTATAAACATCTCTTTTCTCTAAAACCATTCGCTTCACACATTTTCTGGTTCTAACAGCAGTTTCGAGGTAGAAAGCAGCACCGAAAGCATACATTCAAGAAATATATCTGTGCACAGGAATGAGATGCAGGGAGCAGAGGCAGCAAATCGGCTCTCACGCTTATTCTGAGAAGGCCTGGATCCCTCTGCGCAGCTCTCCAAAGTCCAAACGAGAGGGAGGGCAGGCTTGATACTTTGGAGGGGAAATAGTCCCAAAAGGCTTCCTGACCCATTTCTTTTTTTAAAGCCTCCCAAACGTGTTTTACAAAACAGTTTCACTGTTCACAAACCAAGTCCTATGCTAAGGCTTCCTATCTGGTTGCAAAGGAGATTTCATTCCTCAATGTAATTCACAACCGGATTGCTGTGAGTTTTCCAGGCTGCAGGGCCATGTTCCAGAAGCATTCTCTCCTAACATTTTGCCCACATCTATGGCAGACATCTTCAGAGGCTGTGAGGTCTGCTGGAAAGTGGGATTTATATATCTGTGGAAAGTCCAGGATAGGAAAAATAACTCTTGCCTGTTGGAGGCAAGTGTGAATTTTGCAATTGGCCACGTTGATTAGGATTTAATGGCATCTGAGCTTCAAAGCCTTGCTGGTTGCTGCTTGAGGGAATCCTTTATTGGCTAATGTTAGCTGGCCCTGATTCATTATTGTCTGGAATTCCCCATTTTTTGAGTGTTGCTCTTTATTTACTGTCCTGATTTTAGAGGGTTTTTTAATACTGGTCGCCAGGTTTTGTTCATTTTCACGGTCTCCTCCTTTCTGTTGAAACTGTCCACATACTTGTGGATTTCAATGGCTTCTCTGTGTACCATACATCAAGGGAACCACTGACCGCATAGGGAAGCTGATGAAGAAACACAAACTACAACTATCTACAGACCCTCAAAGAAAATCCAACAAATGCTCCATTCAGCAAAGGACAAGAGGGATCCTCTCACCTCTGCAGGAGTCTACCGTATACCATGCAGTTCTGGACAACTCTACATAGGGACCACCAAACACAGCATTACCCAAACACATAACAAGGAACAGGAAAGGCACTGCAGACTACTTCAACCAGGGAAGTCAGCCATAGCATAGCACTTGGTGAACCAGCATGTTATTGGAGAACATAGAAATACTGGACCACTAACAACTACCATGTCAGACTACATAGAGAAGCCACTGAAATCCACAAGCATGTGGACAATTTCAACAAAAAGTAGGAAACCTTAAAAATGAACAAAATATGATTACCAGTGTTAAAAAACTCTAAAATCAGGAGAATAAATAAAGAGCAACACTCAAACAACAGGGGAATTCCAGAGAGGAACCAATCAGGGCCAGCTAACACCTCCCAACAAAGGATCCCCCCAGACAGGAAGCAGCCAGGCTTTGAAGCTGCAAGGACATCCAATGCTAATCAAGGTGACCAATTGCAACATTCATACTTGCCTCAAGCAGACAAGAGTTCTTTCTCCCACCCTGGTCATTATTCCACAGATATATAAACCCCACTTGCTTAGATACCAACAGACCTCACAACCTCTGAGGAGGCCTGCCACAGATGTAGGCGAAACGTCAGGAGAGAATGCTTCTGGAACATGGTCATACAGCCCGGAAAACTCACAGCAACCCAGTGATTCCGGCCATGAAAGCCTTTGACAATTTACAGCCCTTATCATAATGTAAATCTGTTACCCAAAGAGTAACTTGCTGCAGGTTAAGTAATATGAATGAGTAATATTCCGCATGCCATCTCCCACTGCAAATATAACTGTGCCTTACCTCATTATCTGACTCCACCAGGACCTGGTCGTATTCGCTAAGGGCTACTAAGAACATGATGGAAGTCACGTTTTCAAAGCAGTGTATCCATTTCCTCCGTTCTGACCTCTGACCTCCAACATCCACCATTCTGAATTGGGGGAAGGATAAGGCAGGTCATGAGATTCTGTGTTTATTTGGTTACATTTCAACTCCCATTATAAATAAAGGGATCGCTTATTTAACAATCCCCGGTCCAACAATCCCCGGTCCAAGAAGTCCCTTTTCACATAGCTACCCATCCATTCACTCACTCCTCATTCTCTGTCTAACTGGAGGTTTGAGCCGCATGGGCATTAAGAGGATAATGCAAAGGGGATAGAAAAACACCCTTGTGGTCCTGGGGTTTCAACTGGGATTGAAATAAAGAATGCAATAAAACGTCAATTGGGAAAAAACAGGAGTCTATTCTAGCGGCATCTGCCTGCCTACATCAGTTTGAAAGCAGGAATCACAGGAAGGAGGACACTAGTAAAGAAAAAGAAAGATAAGGTGTTCCTGGATACCTTTTGGAAGAAGCCTTTCAAGGATCACTTGAAAGTTCAAAATGTTTTGCTCACTTAATATTCAACCTGACCTGCTTGCTTCATTTCATTGTGAAAAGATTGGCTCAAAGATATGGAACGGATTTTATTAATTGACTTGGTATAGAAACCTATCTACATTACACCTGACTCTGGCACCATTTTTATTATCTATAGTCCATGGATTCTGTACCCATGGCATGGAAATACAGGCAGTCTCCGAGTTAGAAATGTTAAAACTTTTACACCAGTTACACCTGTACCTTGGGAAGTCAGACTTGGCCATGATGGTCCATGCTATTAGGTTCTTGTGGGTTTTTTCGGGCTATAGAGCCATGTTCTAGAGGCATTTCTCCTGATGTTTCGCCTGCATCTATGGCAAGCATCCTCAGAGGTAGTGAGGACATCTGACTCACTACCTCTGAGGATGCTTGCCATAGATGCAGGCGAAACGTCAGGAGAAATGCCTCTAGAACATGGCTCTATAGCCCGAAAAAACCCACAAGAACCTAGTGATTCCAGCCATGAAAGCCTTCGACAATACATTGTCCATGCTATTGTTACATTGAGAACAGACTATTGCAATGTGCTCTTCTGTTCAGAAGCTTCAAGTGGTCCAACGGATGGCAGCCAGACTGCTTATCGGAGTGGCGTACAGGAAGCACACCCCCCCCACCCCCCGTTGCGTCAGCTCTACTGGCTGCCCATCTGCTACAAAGCACAATTCAAGCTGCTGCCTTTAGCCTATAAAGCCCTAAATAGTTCCGGCCCAGTTTACCTGTCCGAACATTTATCCCTCTATGAGCCAGCTAGGAGGAGGCCCTGTTCTCAGTCCCAGCTCCTCTGCAGGTGCAGTTTGTGGGACGAGGGACAGGACCTTCTCAGTGGTCGCCCCTCAGCTATGGAACTCCCTCCCGAGTGAAATCAGATTAGCCCCCTCCCTCCTGGCCTTCAGGAAAAAGTTAAAGACGTGGTTGTGGGACCAAGCTTTCAGTCAGTAACACTGTAATAAGAGAATACAAATTGCTACCATGATAACTGGAATGGCCTCGAATTATGGCATCGGACTGCATGATTTTAAATAAGTGGTTTCAATGCTTGATATGTGTTAGCAATAGTTTTAATGTACATGTTTTATTTTATTTGATGTATGTTCTTATTGGCATCAAATTGCTGCCTATATATGTAAACCGCTCTGAGTCCCCTAAGGGGTGAGAAGGGCAGGGTATAAATACAGTTAATAAACAAACAAATAAACATAAAACATATATATTTGGCTGGAGTTACACTTTAAAAATGTACCGGTTCCGATTCACAAACAAATTCAACTTAAGAACAAACCTACAGAACCTATCTTGTTTGTCATTTGGGAACTACCTGCATTCTCCTCCCCACCTAAAACATTCCCAAAAGCAAACCTTTATTTTGCCATTTATTTTACTATGGAATGGGATAAAAGGGGACATAAGCACCCACAGGAACAAAACCTCAGGGATATCAAAGACCTACCACACTTTCTTAAATGCAGCAATGAAACTCTACTGGGAGGCGACTTCATGGCCTGTGCAGCCTCCACAGTGGCCACCCCTGAACCAAGCCTTCAGACCTCTGCTCAAATCCATTGTTTCCAAAAAGTCTCTTCATTCAGTGGAAGTGAAGCAAAGTATTCATGTCAGGCAATCTGTTCCCGCTTCCTTTGGCCAATCCCTTACCTGAAAATAATGTTCTCTAGGTCAAAGGGGTACTCGATGATCCCAGTTGTAGGGACTCTGACCCGCAGGACGTCTTGTTGGGTGGGGAGGTACCCTGGAGTGGCAATACGGTCCACATCCGTAAGGTAGCTGCAAAAAGCATGAGCAAGAAGGGAGAGGGAGGGAAAGATGGGAGAAGTTTGAGTAGCCAGGTATGGCACAGCAGCCACGAGAACAGGAGGATTTTGCAACACGGACCTCCATATTTGACAACCACTGCCTCTACTTTTGCTAGATACCGGAGAGTGGAGAGAGGGAGAAATGAAGGACTCCACATAGTGCTTGCTGAGATTACCAAGCTTCATTCTTTCAACTAAATCATACATTTGAACTTGATAAAGCCACATTGTTTTTTTCTCACTTTTTTGCATTCTAATGTTTTTGTGTGAAAATTTCATGAAGCTTTGATGAAAAACCATGCTAACTTTCTCTCCAGCCCTGCAAACCCCCATGGAGCCATTTTTCCAGTCCCTCTCCCCTCTTCACCACAATCTAACACATATGGTCCTCCTGCTAACAGGGACGATGGGAGTTCTAGTCCACAGGTTCCCCATCCAAAGACTAACAGTTCTACTGCAAGGTTCACCAACAATACCACGTTATCTTCCTCCAAGCGGGGAGTTAGATAAGAGATGACTCCCCATGTTTTAATGCTTCGTCTCATGGCACAGCCGTTCTGAAAGTTCAGCAAGGGAGCAAGATACAAAAGCAAAGGTTTGTTACCTTGGCTCAAGGAGCACAACTAGAAATGCAAAGGCAGCAAAGAGCACACAAAACGCTTCTGCAAAGGTTCCATTTGCCTCAAGGTGGTGGCAGTGGAGAACTATCAGTAAGGACAACAGCTAACCCCTTTCTTTAATGTATCTCAAGGAAGTTACTTAATCTAGAAAAGTGTTTCTCAACTTTCCTAATGCTGTGACCTCTTAATACCGTTCCTCACGTTGTGGTGACCCCCAACCATAAAATTATTTTCGTTGCTACTTCATAACTGTAATTTTGCTACTGTTATGAATTGTAATGTAAATATCTGATATGCAGGGTATATTTTCATTGTTACAAATTGAACATAATTAAAGCATAGAGATTAATCACAAAAACAATATGTTGGGGGGGGGGAGAGTATGGAAAACAGATGGTGGGATTTGCAGTACTTTCAACTGCTTCAGCTTTGACTTACACAGACCACTGAGACCCCCATGAATAACAGACCTGGATCAAACTTGGCACACAGAACTCCAAGTCTGGGAGGAATTAACAGTGATTCAAGGGAGAAACTATGATGGATCTGGACCAAACTTGGCACAAATAATCAATACGCCCAAATGTTAACACTGGTGGAGTTTGGGGAAATTAGACCTTGACGTTTGGGAGTTGTAGTTGCTGGGATTTATAGTTCATCTATAATCAAAAAGCATTCTGAACTCCACCAACAATGGAACTGAACCTATCTTGGCACACAGAACTCCCATGATCTACAGAAAATGGAAGGGTTTGGTGGAAATTAACTTTGAGTTTTTAAGTTGTAGTTCATCTACATCCAGCAAGCACTGTTAACCCAAACAATAATGAATCTGGACAAAAGTTGGCACACAGACCCAATGTGGCCAACTTTGAATACTAGCAGTGTTTGGGGAGGACTGACCTACAATTTTGAGAGTTGTAGTTCACCCACATCTTTATGCATTTTCTAATGGGAGCATTAATAAAAAACAAAAAGAAAGGATATCTTTTTTATAATACACAGTGTTACAAATTACATAAACTGCTTCTGCTGCTGTTCTTCCTCCTGATACTGCTTGGCCACTCTAAGTCATACATTGCACTGGCACTTTCCCCCCGTGTCTTGAAAGGACTTGGAAGCCTCACTCTAGCCTCTTGAAGGGACTTGCACTCTCCATCACCTGTGCATGCGCACCATGCGCAAAGCCCACCTGCTCTCCCCTCCCCGCTTGGAGTCTCAGAAAGAGCACTCCCCTTGGCTGAGAGGCTGGCTGAGAGGGTGGCCAATCACAGCAGAGGAGAGTTTTTGGTGGGAAGAATCACCATGGTCTGTTTCCAAAAGGAAGAGAAGGACAGGCAGAGAGATCTTCAGCCTTCACTGCCAAAGGGGTTCCTAAGACCATCAGAAATATGTGTTTCTGATAGTCTTTGGCAACCCATCTGAAATCCCCTCATGATATCCCCCCAGGGGTCCCAACCCTCAAGTTGAGAAACACTGCTCTAGAAGATTAAGTAATAAATAATTTATTTATTATTTATTTACTGTATTTATATACCGCTTTTCTCAGCCCTCAGGCGACTCAAAGCGGTGAACAACATCGATACAGAACATCACGAGACAAGTATAGGGCAATTAAAAACAATTGTAACATAAATCATTAACATCAGAATAACAATCATTAGCGCCTCAACAGTAAAATCAGAATCCAGTCTCATCATCCATTATTCCATTCCTATGTTCAATTACACTGTTTAATCAAATGCTTGTTCGAATAGCTCCAGTCCTTCCCCAGAAGCCTTTGAGAAGCCCAGCAAGACCAAGTGACACCACAAAGGCACCTATATCCAGTAACCCAACCCAGAAGCCACATCTACTTACTATTTAGTTGAGTCGGAAAGCTGATATTCTCGCCGCCGGTCGTAACATTCTTGGATTCCCGGGTCGTTCCACAATGTTTTAACTGCATTTACGTAGGGCTGCTCGAAAGTGCAGACCTTTTCGACATCCACTTCCCGGACCAGCAATGCGTTTGCCTGCAATTTAGGGTGGGAAGAGAAGGACATGGTTGAGAGGCTAACCAGAATATCTTTTCCCACCCATCCCGCTATTCCTTTGATTGGTAGTAGAAACAGCTCAAGATCCAGTTCTTATTGCCATCAGTTAGGATAGTACTTCCTAAATAATATGATAGGGGGGGGGGGGGGGGCGCCTGTTGTGCAAGGGACCAGCACCAAATTTGTGCCTTTTTGTTATGATTTTTTCTTTCTCTCCTGGAAGTTCTCTGCAGACTACAGTCAACAGTTCCTGAGTTCAAACACTACTGCTCTGAGTAACACTGGCTAAAGATGTGTGAGCAAGCTAGAGTTATGCATACATTTATATACGCATTTTTAAAAAGTAGCAAAATGCAACAGAAGCAATGAAGCTCCAAATCCACCCATCCTGAATGGAAAACCCCGCAACAGGGTAGCTACCAGTCAGGAATGCTTCTATGGCACACAATAACAAAACTTTCCAGACAGAGGAGGACAAAGAGTATTGCAGATTTATTATCTTTTGCCCAACCAATAAGAAATGTGGTTGCAGAACATCAGATGCACATATGATGGAAATAATTATTCATGGGGCCCCAGGATGGAGACGGAAGGGCGCAGGTGGATGTACGATCATGGGGGGGGGGGGTGCACTGGGGGTCCTACCTTGTTCTGTTCATACTTGTACAAGATCTTTAAGGTTTCCATAGCCCTGATCATTGACTGCATGGCAGTGAAGATATTCTGGTACACCAGCTTGGTGAAACCCTTCTTGTCTTCCTCCGAGTAGCCCGAGCCATGAATTATACGCATCTGCTTGATGAAGGTGCTCTTCCCACTCTCTCCTGTACCTAAAAAGCAAAGAGTGACAACAGGGTGAGGAGGCAAGAAAGACAGACAGCACCCTAGTGCTAAAGCACTCTTAGAAAGCCAAGCTGGAAGCCCTTACAGTTAGATGATGCAAGGTATACCCACCAAGACCACATTCTGAAAGTAGTAAATGCTGCAAACATTTTTGTATTTCAGGAAGGAAATTAATAAGTTCCTGAGCTTCAACTACATAAAACATTCCGATTGGTCCAGCCCAATATGAAATCACATGTAGCAATGTATCAGACATCTCTTTGGAAAGAGGGGAGTCAGAAGTATATTTACAACACATATGAGAACTAAGTCACAACACTGAATCCTTCAGGTTTTGGATAAAGACTGCCACAAGCAGACACAAAGCTGTTTATTTCCAAGACTAATAATAATAATAAAAAAAATTTGTAGACTGCCCTATCTCCCTAAAGGGACTAAGCAATGGATGACAAAGTAAAATCAAGACTTTGCTCCTTTCTTAAGCACATTGCATGGTCAAGGATGGAAAACAAGGTCTCCTGGACAAAAAAAAAGGCCTTTCTTTTCAAAATTAAGCAAGAAGTCCTGCTTTATTTATTAGATACCTGAAATATGTTCTATGTTCTGATAACACAGTCCTCCTCTGGAGAACGAGGAGCTACAAACCCAGGGAGATACTGACACGGCACTCTTTCTTCCAACGAGGTTATTTCAGGTGAATAAATGGGTCGAGAGCAGAGCCGAGAGGAGGCTTACCACTCCGCAAACCTAGAAAGCAGAGCCAGGATGTCGACTACAGAGCATCTGACCATCTGAAGGACTGCAGGGTTTCCCGGGGTCGTATTTAGTTGCCAAAAGTGCAAGAAGAAGCTGACATGCAGGGTCTCTCAACTGGGAGTCAGCTAGGAACGTATATGATGGTTTACTCGCTTGCAGAACCATATTTAGCCGCTTTCAAACTGGTTAGTTGGGTGCCTCCCAGCTGAGAGGTAAACTGTACCTTTCAAATTTGAAAGATTTCTCCCAATCTGCATTGAGACTACAGGCAGTCCTTAAGTTACAAACATCCGACTTACAAACTACTCACAGTTAAGCATGGGAATGAGACAACAGGAAGTGAGAGAAATCTACCCCTTGGAAGGGAAATCCACTCCTGAAAGTTATCATGGCAAAAAGGTGTCTCCACTGAAGCTTTATCACCAATCCTTGTTTCCACAACAAGTCATTTTTTTTTCAAAATGAAATGATGACAAGAATAGAACGTGAAGTGAAATCTTCTAAATAGGGGCACAGACAGCAAAACAAAACACCACAGGGGTTTTCAACTTCCCTATGCGATCCAAAGCGAATACATATGTATATATTTGGCTGGAGTTGCAGCTTTAAAATGTATCTGTTCCAACTTACAAACAAGTTTGACTTAAGAACAAGCCTACAGAAACTACCTTGTTCGTAATTTTGGGCAGGAAGCAGAGGACAGGTAAGGCAGGCACTCAAAACACCCCCTATGAATGCACATGGAACCAAAAAGGGCGACAAAAGGGGGCCTGTCTAAACAACAAGAAAAACATACAGCTTCCCAGGCATCACTAACCTGCAAGTCCCATCTGCTGTAGTCCACAAAGGAAGGGTTCATGGGAGTTGCAGTTTAACACTGGAAAGTACTCACTTTCCCTGCCTAAAGACAATCAGGAGATTATGGCAGCTCACAAAAGGAACTACAGCTGCAACCCGGAAGTCCTATGTAGGAGGGAGGGACACATTTAAAAGTAGACAGGCAGGGAGAGAATGGTGGTAAAAAGGCCATTATGTTTTCCACACAGAGACAGAGGGCTGTCAAAAAGCAAGGGGGTGTCTTTCGCACAGAGATGACTGGCAGGAAGAAGAGCCACCAAGATAATATATAGGAGAAACATGGAAAAACAGAGATACGACCAACATGGTTGAGGATAAAACTGTAAGTTTTCTATAAGCAGGTCAACACATTAAATTCTATGCCTGGGGAAAAAGGGTGCCTCTCCCCCTATGATATGGCTACAGAAAGAAGGGAAGGAGGTCACTTCTCAAGAAGAAGAAGAGCTCCCTTGGCAGTCTTATTGGCCAGGGAAGAGAACATGCATCCTAGAATAGTTGGATTATGTAACATCAGTGAATGAGATTTATGATCTGCTCCTTAGCCAATGAGCCATTTTCCCCCAGACTTGTCCTTCTCCTCCCAAAACACCCCCTTCACCATGAAAAACTCCACTATAATCAACCAATTCCCAGTTTCTTTAACCATTTAAATCATCATCTTCAGAGGAACAAGGAGGGAAATATTTAGAAATTACAGGGTTATAGGCAGGTTATTAGGATTTAGTTGTAGAAAAATGGGGTGGGGGTCTTGGAAACAAATAAGTGGTTGAGGAGTGGGATGCAAGGTCCATAAAAAGATAATGTCAGAATAGAATTGGTCAACATGTCCTGAAATTACATTACCAGAATGGCAAATAATGATAAAAAGCAAGGATTAATACACACTAATCATATAAAATAACTCTTTTTCTAAATGGAGTATATGACCAAACAAGAGCTAAGGCAGACTATAAATAAATCTATACACATAATCTATATACATATAAAAGTGAAAATAGATATGTGTGTATGTGGCTGGAGTGGGTCTTTGGGGAGATTTATAGGAGTTGTAGTTCACCAGAGCGCACTATGAACCCAACCAATGATGGATCTGGACCAAACTTGGCATGCATACCTAATATGTTCAAATTTGAATACTGGTAGGTTTTGAGGGCAATTGGCCTGGACATTTTGGAGTGGTAGGTACTGGGATTTATAGTTTACCTGCAATCAATGAGCCCTCTGAACTCCACCAAAGATGGAATTGGATCAAACTTGGCACAGAGCCCCCATGATCAGCAAAAAATACTGGAGGTCTTTGGAGAAAAATCACCTTGATATAGTTCACCTACACTCAGAGAGCACTGTGAACCCAAACACCGATGGATCTGGACCATACTAGGCACACATCCCTGATATGCCAAAATTTGATGACTGGAGGGGTTGGGGGGGGGGGAACTGACCTTCCTTTCTGGGAGTTGTAGCTCACCAACAAACATAGCAACTGTGGCCTCCACCAAAGATGGACCTGGACCAAACTTGGCACACAGAACCCCCATGACTAACTCAATCTACTGGAGGAGTTTGAGGGAAATGACTCACAATAGTGGGAGTTGTAGTTTACCCTGCAGCAAAGAGCATACTGAACCCCAGTGATGATGCATCTAGAGCAAACTTGCCAAACATAACAAACTTTAAGGACTGTTGGGAGTTTTCGGGGTTAACCTGGCATGATGTGAGTTGTACTTAAATCACAACCTTATGAGTCTTGTAAAATTTAAAAAACACAACTTAAAAAAAATTACCTGGGCAATGCTGGGTATCCAAGATAGAATAACAATAACAACAACAACAACAACAACAACAAATAAGACAGGCATATAAATCGAAGTGCTTGTCGCAATGAAAGTAACTCCACTGAATCAACTGCTGAATTGGTATAAAACCTGAATGTAAATCTCTTTAATTCAATTGATATACTCTAATTAGACTTAACAATTGGATTTAGGCATATATAATGGAATTAAGAAAAGCAAGGAAATAGCTAATAGGAATAGATGGGAAGTACTGGTTAATAGGAAAGCAAGCATCTCTCATAAATAAACAACAAAGGCATATGCAAATAGAAAAGCAAATTAAAAAGATAGATAAATAATAAACATCTACATAAATGCATAATGTAAACAGGAAACAAAAAAACATGGCACAGGAATCAATGAGGGAAACATAATTCAATACAAAAGCAGACATGTATTTATTTAACACACAAGGATAAAAAAATGGACACACCCATATAGGAAATAAATGGAAAGCATACAAATGTGAACTACGAACAAGGAAATATGAAAGCATAAGAAAAAGACAGAATATATAAGTGTGAAAGAGCTATACACATGCATATATGTAATTACTTAAAACCCCAAATAATGTAAATATTTATGGCAAGATGTTTCAGCTTCTAACTTCTTTAGCTACTCTTAATAAAATAAAAAAAAATGTTCATTCGGATCAGCTGAAGAAGGCAGAAACTCAAGTTCCTTACTATAGCATTCAAACAATATATATCCTAAATGGTCAACTCCAACCTCCAAAAATGGTTTTGGAAACCATCTATTCTATAGAGATTTGGGTAATTGTTATATGGGCTACATACGCATATATCCTTCTATAATATTTAAATAACTGTATTTGTTCACCACACTGTAAGTGATTAATTGCATCCTTCAGGAATTCAGGACACATTTGTTCAAGCTGGTTTTTAAAAAAGGAAATCAGAAAGATCACTGAAAAAGGCAGCTGAACCATACTATCTGATTCCAGGTGAATATAAACTTGAAGTAGATCTGTTAGTATGACTGAAAATGGTGCGTAATAGGATAAATTCTATGTGTGTTAATATACATTGCTACAATATTCAAACATTTCTCTTTATTCATCACTCTATTATAAATATAAATTTATGAATAGGTGTGGTGGTGCTCATCTCCATTTCTAAGCTGAAGAGCTGGCATCGTCCGTAGATGCCTCCAAGGTCACGTGGTCGGCATGGAGCGCCGTTACCTTCCCACCAAAGCTGTACCTACTGATCTACTCACATTTGCATGTTTTTGAACTGCTAGGTTGGCAGAAACTGGGACTAACCCTGCTCCCCAGATTCAACCCGCCAACCTTTCAATCAGCAAGTTCAGCAGCTCAACAGTTTAACCTGCTGCACCACCGGGGGCTCCAAACAGGTAAAATCCTTAAAGACTCGATTTAAAATGTGTGTTTTTTAAAAAAATAAACCACACAAATAGATATAGACGGATAAATAGAATCACAGAATATTAGACTTAACGGCTATCTACTCCAACCTCTCCATGCAGGGTTTAGTACAGGAGTCCTCAAACTAAGG